TCCGAACTAATCGTAAATTTTCGTAAGTTTACGCTCGCGTAAAAACTTGCAGAGGTTTACGCCTATTTATTTTTGCTTATGTTGGTTGAGGGAACAAATGATTATTTTTGATAAGATTGATTGTTACTGAGCTTTTTTTCCTTTTTAGCATCCAAAATACTAGAACTGTTATTCCTGATGCTATTAAGATTGTTGGAATTAATCATAGAGGAGATATTTTTTTGTTGCCTTTACTTTCTTTTTCTAATTGTTGCTGAGTTTGGTTCAGCTATTGATCAGCCTGGGCTAACTTCTTTTTTAACTGGGTTAATTCTTGATTCTTATCTTTCTTTCCTCAGGTTTTAGCATATTCATCAGGGTTGTTAAGTTTCTCAGCTATTCGTTCATTTTCCATTGTGCCAATTGGCTGGTTGTTTCGAATAGGTCTACCTTTATCAGGAAGTCAAAATTTTTCTATTTTGTATTTGGGTAAAAAAGTAAAACATAAATCATGCTCTTTATTTGATAGAGATTCTCCTTTTTCTTTTCTCACAATCTCACCTGCTTGGCCTAAATTACAACCAATAGTAAAGTTATGACAATTTATTTTAGTTTCATATTTTTTCATTAAGTCTTTAAGAATTTCACCTATTTGATTTCATGTCTCTTGGTCTATGTTGTTGATATTAGGGGGCAATTGTGCTTTAGTAAGAATGATTGCATAGCCAGGAAATTTATCATTACGTAATTTGGCAATTACTTTATTCTTTTCAACAATGATGTCATCCTTGTTTGGGGAAAGAGATTCATTAATTTCTTTTTCTTGCTCAGGAGTTGCTGGTTGGTAATGCTCTTTAACTCCAGTGGTTCCTTTGCCCAATACATTATATTTTGGCACTACTCGCATATAAAAATAAGGTGGCATATTTTGTGACCCCAATTTTCCTACTGAAATACTAAGACGATAACCAACTGGGTTGTATACCTTTCAATTTTAGCAATACTTTCCTTCAGCACAGGCAAAACATCAGCTCATTCTTGATCAGTAAGAGTACGTAAGTCTTCGGTATGGCATTTGGTAACTATTACTGTATGAGCTTTGGAATTAGGCTGTGGATTAACAGAAGCAAGCATTGTTTCATTTTCTGAAATTAAGCTTTTAAGTTGCCCTTTCTCATTAGGTTTGCATTGCTTAATACAAGCCATACATTTTTTTTCTGCCATAATATATTTTTTATAACTATAAGAACTTTATAAGTGACCATGATTAGAGTATAAAGCTTATTATTCAATAGAACTTTGCACAGGCTTTGGACAAGTGATGTCTTTAAATTCATTTCTGACAAATGGACAGATGTTGTGATAAAGATATTCTTGCCGTTTGTAATCCAATGGAGGTTGTGTTAATATTAAAATAGATAAAGATTTAATTTCTTTGATAATTTCCGAAACACTTGTTTTTCTACTTTTTAACAAATTAAATTCAGTAAAAGCACCATTAGCAACCATTTGAGCTTTGACAATTCCAGGATTAGTTGCTTCAAAAACGAAATGCTGATATTTTTGTAAACCACTCAATTTCTTAAAGAAAATTCCCAACACAGAATTGAGATTTAAATATTGAAAGGCTTTTCCGTTGTTATAACGCTGAGCCTTGTTTAATCCAGTTGTACTCGATTTTTTCACAACTTCAACAATATCGTTCACACAATTTATCGTTGTTTTGCAATATAGTTTCTTAACCAATCCAAAACTACCATCATACTTAAATTTAGTATGTCCAGGTTAGGGATACAGAATATCTGCGATAGCATAATATGCATATAAACTTGATATTTATCGCATAGCATATGCGATAGCATATTTTATATAAAGAGCAGAATTTGCATAATTATACAAAATTTTTAAACGCATAATTCTGCGTATCAAAAAGAACTGCATAAAGCAGGTCGGCAAGCTTTG